GAAGTCCGTAAATTTCGTGTGGGTTGGAGGCCCTTGGTGTAAGTCCATGAACATCCACCCCTATACAAGACCCTAGAGTGATTAACGCCATTGTGTGTAACATAAATGGTGGTTTCGACTAAATTGACACTTGCATGTGTTGGGGAGCCGGAGAGAGCTCGGAATAAAGTTGCATGGGTGAGTGTCACTTCATTCCATGGCATAGCATTGTTGCATTCCATCATAGGATGCATAAGTGTGAGAAATGCTTGGTTGTGTGTTTGTGTGATGATTACATGAGCATGTGCATCTAGGGGAAGAGTAACCTCTATAGGTTTATCTCTATTGGGCGTTGTGCTCACCCTATACGGGAAACAATTTCAGGTACGGGACACGTTCCGGTGGATGGCTCTCATTCGGGGGCTCTTGGTTGAAGAAAAGCCGGGTTGTGGCTTTTGAATTTAGTTTTTGTAAAACTTTTGGTTAATTTCCATTTTGGCATGTAAAAGTATGGAAATAGTTGTATTAGAACTTGTATTGACTATATTTGGTATCAAATAGATGTTGTATAAGTTTTGGATAACCTTGGATTGATTTGGGGTTGAAATCATACACAGAAATTTCAGACACTGCTTAGTGTTTGAGCCATAACTTTTTATTGTGACGTCCAAATGATCTGAAATTTTTACAGTAGGTAGTAGACACCTAGGTCTACAAAAGTGTTTTTATGAAATTTTCCCAATTCCACTTCTAAACAGGTCAAAACCGCACTGGAAGTTGCAGCAGAACAGAAACTGCATTTTCTGTTCGAACGTAAAGTGACGTTCGAATGGTGCGAGTTTTGAACAGCAAAACCAGCAGAGAACCAAATGTACTGGGAGCTACCTATTTTTCAAAACCAAGGGACGTTCGAATGTGAATAGTGCTGTTCGAACGGTGACTCTAAAACCGAAATTTTTCAAACTATGCACTAAGCTTCCAGGCTTGGATTTCTTTGATTTAAAGAACACCAATGGACTTGGATTTCTCTAGTTCCAAGGATACAAATGGACACTAATTGAGGTATATTGAGGCTTATTAGACCTTGGTGGATTTAAATGATAACTATTACATATATGCACTAATGTTAAAGTAACCTTGCATGTTTTGCTATAAATATGGATAATTGGACCCGGTGTGGTCAATGTTTACTTATAAATGGACCCGGTGCGGTCATTGTTTATATTGGGCCTCAGATGGGTCATGTGAGTTATGTTGCACAGGTTGGGTATTGGGTAGAGTTCCCTGTACAAAGGAGACTCTGCCCAAATTTTGTTAAGTTATGGACCTCGGTAAATGGGACATAACGGTGTGATATCGAGTCACTCGGTATTTACGGGTATTCCGCGGGTTGATGGGTAATCAACGGACCCCCTGATTTTGGGGTGTCACACGTTCCCCATTCCAAAGTCCCACATACCGGTAACTTTAAATGCCTCTGAGTTGGTGGGAAACGACTTTCACTCTATCCTTTGAATTTTCTCTTTCGATTTCTCTTCTTCCTCCAATTCATTAATGATCTTAGGGTTCCACTGAGTTGCCATCCTTCCTTGAATCGGCTTGCAAGACTTGTTCTTTATTTCTCGCTTTGGGGTTCTAACTTGTCCTCCACCCTTGATTAGGTACGTCTTCTGCCCCTTGCGTGTTTCTTCATTCTGGATCCTCTAAACCTAAGATGGTTATTTCATTTTTGGACTTTTCGGTTCTGCTACTTTAGGAATCGAGGTCTCTCCTTATCTCGTCTCCCCTTTTTCCTAGATCCCTACTCTACTGCTAGGATATTTGTTATCAGAAGTTGTTGCGTCAAAACTGTGATCATCAAAGAGTGTTATTCAAAGATCCCTCCTCTTTATAGGTCATTCCAACTTCCCTATTTCTGCCCAACTATGTCTGCTTCTTCTGAAGCCACAAGTTCATCCATTTCCCTCATGGGGAGCAGGTCTTCTGAAGCAGAGGACTTTGATTTGGGTGATGTGGGAAAAGAGATTGATAGCTTTCCTGGT